CTCTCTCTCTCTCTCTCTCTCTCCTGCATATTGCTTTTCCTCAAGCGTTCAGATTTGGTGCACATTATTAGCGTACAGGTGTGGTTGCCATAGAAACAGAAGTCTCCATTTTGCCTCTGGGAAACCAGTCCGCAAAAGCGAAGAGTTTGGATCGTTTAAGCAAACGTAATAAACAAAACTCTTCAATAAAGGAAAATTAACACTCTGGGTGGAGATATCTGGCAGGGGGCCTCAAAGTCTATCTACATTCGCATATTTGATATTTCAGTAATTTACATATGTTACACTGGGCTCAGGGCTCGTATTTGCTGGCTTAGGAAGAAAACGAGGACGAAGGACCAAGTCCCAGGGGGTGTGAGATGCACCAATATTCTTGAGAATTTGGGCAGCAGGGAGGGACATCCAGAAAGTGCATTATTATTATTATTATTATTAGCGCCTACTTGATAGTGTGTTTGAATGCATGCAAATACTTCCTCTTCATGCATTATAGCAAGCAGGATTTTCACATTTTCTTTCAGCATGATTAACCGGTATTATATCATGACAACATGAATGCATACTACTTCATAAAATACTGAGAAATGCATTCACATAAAACTTTTGCGCTGAGCTGTATCGTTTTTTTTAATACTTGGGGGAGGGGGGAGAGGAGATTATTAATTGTTATTCTTATTATTATTATTTATAACACACGTCAGACAAGCAGCCTTGTTATGCATTGACATTTTCTGTGCTTATGTAGGTTAACCGGGGTAAGACTGGGAGCGTGAGGGAGCGTGTCCATCCTGACCTTCACCCAGGCCAGGCCAAGGGCAGGCCCACCATCCCTCCAGCGTTAGCGCCGCCATCGCCCTACAAGCACTTCAGAAAAGAAGACGGGCCCTTTGCTCGTACAGAGACTCTCGTACGAAGCCAATGAAGAACATGAAATGAAGAGGTGGCAAAGAAACCATGACACAAACCCCCACAAGACATTGGCCAGGAGGTTCTGGGGAGGGGCGCCATGAAGATGAGGCTCCCTCATTCTTCACGCAGCTGCAGGCAATAGCGGTGGTAGCGAAGCTGGAAGAACATTTGCTCTAGAATAGAATGTGTCATTCCAGGCAGAGAATAGTGTTCAACCACCCCGACATGCTTGAAGCCCAAGGACTCATACAACTTGTGGGCTGCCACCTTCACCGCCGTGGTCCCCAGCACCACAGAGGAGTAGTTATTGACCACGGCAAACTCCAGCACCTTCCGACCCAGGGCTTTTGCGATCCCTTTACCACGGTATTTAGAGTCCACGGACATGCGGCGCAATTCCAGCGTGTTGTCCTCCTCGTTGCCTCGGGCTGCCACGATGCCCACCACGTTGCCATTTAACACGGCCACCCAGAAGCAGGAACCTGTTGGCACAAAGCAGAGGTTGAGTGGGAAGGGAAGGGATCCTTATCCAGAGATACATCTCTGCCTTTGGAAGGCTCTTGCGTGTCTCCTGCCTTTGAACATCATCATCAACACGGAGGAAGCACCCAACGCAGGTTCTCCTTAGAAACCGCAATTAGCCCCAAATTACCCTGTCAAGACGCCTCCCTATAACATTTCTTGCACTACATCCAAAACAACATTTTCTCTTTCATTATATATTGTCTAAATATTGGAAGCGTTGAGTAGTGGAAATGAATTATGTTTTGTGAGCTTTGCCATCTGTGAAAAAGGAGCTTGTGAACGCCTGTCTTAATTCGACCAGGATTTCGCTCCTGTGAAGCAGCACCGAAGCTCCTGCGGGGAAAACGGGCCGGTTCTCCGTCGCTTGGTACCTGTGGTTTTAAAAGGCTCCAGTGGATCCCCGACCTCACGAGGCCTGGATGAAGCAGCACACGAAAGGGGCCTCCTCACCTCACCCAGACATTTGCTGCTTGCCACAGGAGGCTTCGTGGCTCGGAAGGTCAAGCGAGCCCTTGGCTCTCCCCTCAACTCTCTGCCTCTTCCCAGCCTGTTACCAGTTTCCATGATTATGACGGGCAAGTTCCAGTCTCCGCAAAATTTGTTTGGACACATTATTTTGTCCTTTATTTTTTCACCTAAAAGGTGTCCCTTTTTAGACACCTGTGAGGACCCATTGAACTGCAACCGATCCCATTTCGGTTACAAAGACTTTGGGTCTTTGGCAGTTGAGACGGGAGCCCCAGGCTTTTGGAGGTTGGCAGCCACGTTCTGGCTCGCCCAGCGCCACATTCAAAAATAGAGACAGGCAGGACAAGGGTGAGGAGACAAAGCAACGCAAATAAGGAAACAGTTAATAGTCTGGATTATGCATACGCATTATGAAGAGCCTGGTGGCTGAGTGGTTAGAATGCAGGACTGCAAGCTAATTCTGCTGCCTGCCGGCTGCCAGCAGTTAGATTCTGACCAGAGGTGTGTAAAATGAGGACCCAGATTGTTGGGGGAGCAATAGGCTGACTCTGCAAACCGCTTAGAGAGGGCTATAAAAGTACTGTGAAGCGGAATAGAAGCCTAAGTGCTGT